GTGTGAACAGAAAATTGCAGCTAAGCAAGTGGGTTTCTGATCAGACAGAGGAAGTCAAGAATAACTTTTCAATTTTAGAGTGCTTTTTGAGCTTGATGTACTGACTACCACATAGCATTCGACTCTATATACAATCATTTCCTCTGGAAAATTATGAATGGTATGGTTTCTCTAGGCATAGTATTAATATACTTCATAATTTATACAACAACGAGAATTCGTCAGGCACAATATCAAAAGAACTGTCCAATTGGATCAACATTGAAAAGGAAGTGAGGCAGCATTGCATCCTCTCATCAAGTCTCTTTAATTTCTTCAGAGGAACTATTTGTGGCTTCAAATATGCAATTGATACTGTATTATTTGCATCATCTGACGAACAATTGCAAAAAATCGTGGACAGGGATAAGCAGTTAAGTGAACAGTGCATGGTGAGTCTTTAAGTTAAATGAATGCTTTGACCAATCTCATAACAACAGGAGGAGGAGGCTATAGCTGTGAGAGATCACGAGACAGATTGACATGGCTAAGAATGCATTTCAGAGAACGAATATCATCTTGAAAATTGATAAGATCACAGTACCAACACAACATAGACCTTTGAAAGCGCTTTGCTGCCTATTTGTTTCTTATGGATGCGACAGTATATGACTGGAGCATTTGAGATGTGGGGCTACAAGAGGTTATGGAGAATATCTTGGAGAGTGAAATGCACCAACATATGGGTACTACTAGATCGGTTCTGTTAACAGTTTAATTATGGTATAAAGAAAATAAAGCTTAAATGCTTCAAACACATTGCTTGGGCTCAGCTTCCAGTTCTTGAGCAAGAAGTTCCATGTATAATTAATACTGACATATGCGTCTAATCTTAATATAATGGAACATTGACGTGGCTGTCTATCTATCTATGTGACTGAAAAAATAAATATGATAGTGCCATCTGTTGTGCTGAAATACAACATAATCTCAATGCCAGAAGTGGTGATTGAGGCTTATGAAATGTAGCGCTATCTATTGAATGGTACCACAAACAAAATTCCATACAAAATTTCTCACTTGGGGTATTCAAGTTGAGTAGAAGTAATTATTAAGATAGGGCTCTAAGCAAGAGCTTGAGATAATATAATTATGACAAATTTAAACATTGTTTAGCATAGAGACTCACCAAATGCTCCACAAAGTCTTGATTTTGGTCCTTCATTTGTATTCAATCAGTTGGCTGATTTGTAAAGGCAACATAATACAGTATAACATAAAGATTGTGTTTTAAAGAGGCATTATTTACATGTTGCTTGGTTATGTCTTTAAACTAAACCTTCCACCAGTTTATACTACAAATACTTGTATATGTCTTATTTTTATTTTTGCTTAATTTGTGCAGAATGGATCGTAAGTGGCTTGAGGGTTTTATAATGTTTTTTCCTGTTAATATTTTAGCTGAAGCATATGGTGTTTTTCACAAGGTTACAGGTATTGTTAGGTAGCTGGTCGATTATTTATCTTTTCTTTTTAGCTGTAGCCAAGTGAATGCAGTCTTTGTGAAGAACTTTATCTAATTTTCTTGTTCGTGAACGTATACTTTTATATTTTGGCACTTAGTACGGCTTGATTCTACATGGTTCTTTTTCGAATATCTTGATATGGCCCTAGTTTCATCAAACTTTGTGTTAGCTGTGTTAACTCTGATGACTTATTATGATATTTCCATCACTATAGGTTTTCTAAAAGACATAATTAGCAATGGTTTACAGTGGTTGAATAATATTCTGAGCAAGCTGTTTATGAAAACTGGTTGAAGAACGACGTTTTGAAACATTTACCAGATGAACATTCGCCTGAGTACATCACGCAGGTTGTCCAAGGCACTCTCGACAATACCACTGAATATGTCCTTTTTTGGTATCAAACTTTTGGTAAATGTGAAACATATGAAATTCCTTAATTCAAATCAACATCCTTTATGAATGAACTCGAAGGACTACATAATTTAAATTGAACTCTTTAATGTAGGATTTTGATGCCTCTGATATTATTGTCCACAAGGGTTGCTAACTTTCACTGCTCATCCAGTGCAGATATATGTAAGTAACTGCTTTGTTATCATGGTCTAGAGAAATTTCTTTTTAGGCTAATATACTAAGAGAAAAAAACAATAACAACGTCTTTCGGCACAATAAAAGATAAAATAATCATTAGAAAATGTCAGTCTACATGTTACCATCTTTAGGGTTGGTGACTACTGTGTCACCGAAACTTATTGGCTGAAATTTCTAATAAATATTTTATATTTCATTGTGCCATAAAAAAAGAGAAAGAAGAAAAGAAGAAAAAAACATATTTTCTTTTTTTCTTCTTTCTTTCTTTTTCTTCTGAGAACAGTCACCTTCCCACAACTGTCTGCAGGCAGTGAAGGGTGATATAGATGTGGGACGTTGTGGGCTTGAGTACCCACATCTCGCTCTCTTAACTTATATATATTTTTGAGGAATTTGTTTGATTTTTTAAAATTTTTGTTTTCTTCAACATGTGAAACTGGAAGTTAAGACTGGTAGACGGTGTAACTTCATCGCAATGTGGACCCTACTTCTGCAATCACCTCCAAAACCGAGGGAATATTTTATATCCCATAGTATAACCTGTACCCTGGGAATCCTTTTAATTTATGCAGCATCCTTAATTTTTTCTTTTTTTGTTTGAGACTGTTTTTTTTTCCATTAAAATACTTTTTCATCACAGGTTTTGATTTGCTGTTTTTAACGCGTCCTTCTTTTCATGTTGCCCCCCAGTGGCACAGTGATATGTCTGCGGACTTCATCCTCTAGAATCCGGGTTTCGATACCCGTGGTGGGCAGAGCACAGATAGCCCATTGTGTAGCTTTGTGCTTAATTACCATTACTTACTTACCTCTTTTCATGTTAATTTTTGCTTAACTGTTTAAGTACTAATTTTCTATGCATACTTTACTATATACGTATATTTGTAAATAATAATTTTTTAAAGCAAAACATAAACTTGATCTCTATAGACCATGTATGGTCACTTTTGTCGTGGTTTCTGATTTTAAATGGTAGAATATGGTAAAATGTACTATTATTGTATCACATGCCATATATCTGTTGGACTTAAAAGATAAATGAATAGTTTCAAATACTTTCCACTTTTGGTTTTTGAAATTAATCGTAAATAATTTTCCAGTATAGGACTTATTGAGATTAGTCACACGTTATAATAGCGATGTCCCTGGGCCCTTGTTGCATTATTTCCCGATTGTACTCAGTCTGAAGGATGACCACGTTTACAAACTTTTATCCTTTCGCTTCACAATGTTATTGAAATAAGTTTCTACGAAGAAAAACAAAGCCATCGTTAGACTTATAATCTTGAAAAATTTCGTGATACCTTTCAAGACCACGTTAAATCAGATCGAAAGCATGAAAATCAACTGGAACTGCATCTGAAGTCTTTATTGGCGTGAAATAGAACGAGGCTGTTGTAATTACAGTTTCTTCCATGGAAGTCCGTCGGAACTGCATCGGAATCCTTTGTAGGTATGTAATAGAACGAGACTGCTGTAATTACAGTTTCTTCCATGGAAGTCCGTTGGAACTGCATCGGAATCCTTGTAGGTATGTAATAGAACGAGACTGCTGTAATTACAGTTTCTTCCATGGAAGTCCGTTGGAACTGCATCGGAATCCATTGTAGGTATGTAATAGAACGAGACTGCTGTAATTACAGCTTCTTCCATGGAAGTCCGTTGGAACTACATCGGAATCCATTGTAGGTATGTAATAGAACGAGACTAATGTAATTACAGTTTCTTCAACCGTCTTTTGCAAGATTTTGAAGCATAGTAAGAAACATGTAAATACTTGATGTGAGATTTCGTCAACTTCAAATTATTTTTTGTTATCCTATTATTAGTACTGCACAGGTAAATCCATTTTCTTCAAATTGGGTTTTGGGGTTGGAGGGTTTTCGTTCGAAATCAGAGCGCTCACTTTGAAGATGCCGCTGCTGTCCCTGATTGAAGCGGAGCATAGTTTCAGAATCCATTGCTGTCCTAAATGCTCTGTGTTGCGTCTCTTGATTTTATGTCACACAGTAACCTCACTGTATAAATACCTCTCCTTGTCCAGGGGCAAGGACAAAAGTCTTCTGCTTTCAATCGATCCATGCCTGCATCTCATTCTGGTTGAAAATTTACCGTGAACGAAATATACATATGTGTGTATTCTAAACATGTTGGTTACAGCTCTCATCTGTGGCGATGCACATCTGTTATATATATATACAACTCTTTCTTACATACTGCGATTAAACCCTTCTATTTGTTTCATCGTGAAAACCGCCCACGCTTATAAATGTAAGTCAGTTTTTATATTAGATCTGAATTCAAGCTACACACACATACACGGCTGTGTATACTAACCTCTTTTTCTTTTAGAACATGGGATAAAAAAACAACAACATAAACTGTAGAAGTTGTAACAGCCTTCCGAAATAGCAGTCTTTGTGTACTAATGACGGTTAAAATAATAAATAATATTGTTTCTGTAATTGTTCTTTTGTTTATTATTGTTTTATTTATTTTTTTAATATTTGTTATTGTAAGTTTTTTCAGAATGCTAAAAAGTAGTTTAAATAAAAACATAAACAACGTGTTCACAAGAAGAATGGATGAGCTTGTTCCAGAGCAAAAACACATTGGGCTACTTGCTAGGTCCACCGCGGGTAATCAAACCCCGGATTTTAGTATGGCAAGTCCGAAATCTTCCTTCTGACCCACTGGGGACCAAAGGATTTGTGAATTGACTAATTGCACATAATAGTTCACATATAGGTTCAACTGTAAACTTAATCTTAGGCCCAACGTAATATAGATGATTTCGTATTTTCTTTAAATATTATCAAAATTCATTTCTGAAACTTTGAAACTTTCCAAAATTATCTGAAACATTTCTAAACATTTAAATTTTTCTTAAATAACACTTAATGTGGTTAAACTTTTTATTCTCACTCAAAACACTCCATTTCTATGTTTAAGCATTTACACAGAAATTGTTTTATTACACGTAGGTCATTTAACTTGATATATTTTAATAATGGTGCAAAGACAATGAATAAACGAATCTTTGAAAATTACACGGTTATCTTGTTTATTTAGCTTTGAATCGAAGACGTACTTTAAGGTTTTGCTTCTTTGGCTTACTTGTTTGAAAACATTTTCTTGTATTTCGTCTGTTATCTAGGAGCTTCTCTGTCAGACAATCTACTAGCGTTTGCCAAAATGTAAAAAGGCGTTTCGCTCATTTTCCAGTTTATCGCTACCCCTATCTTCTATGAAATAATACTGCACATCTGGATACTGACTTTGGCCTTTTTTAGTCACTAGCGGTAGAAAAGATTCCTCTAAGCGAAATGGGAATAAATCATAGTTTCCATAGGACAATTTATTAAAATCTGAATTGTCGTCTTCTCTGCTAGGTAGGATATAATACCCTGGGAAGGAATCTACTATTTCAGCTGTAGTTCCATCAGAAACGAAAGTGTTTTTCTGGACTCGATTGAATTCTAACGAATCATTTCGTTTTTGTTCGCTTCCGTCTACTGCCACATTATTTTTATCCTCTGGTTTAAGCTTCTCGTTTGAGTCGAACTTGTTTGAATAAACTAAGCTTTTTGATGGCGGATCTTTTGAATCATCGTATTTACTGGAATGGGCATTAGTTGCCTCTTTGATTTTCACCGATCGTTTCTCAAAATGATTCATTGAATATGAACTCTTTTTCAGGGCCTTCTCTTGATCTCGAAAAAGATGCATGATTTCTGGTAGAACATCAGTGTTACTAGCTACACGATTTTCGTCCACATTTCTGTTATCACTTATTTCTTCCAGATTAGGAGAGAGAAGTTGCTTACTTCTATTAATATCTTCAGCATACTTAAACCAGCTGTAATCGAATGGGTTGTTTTCATCGTCTAGCAATCCGGGACCCCGACCATACGGTCTGGAAAAAGAAGATCCATAGTTGTCCTGGTAACGTGTATTTCTTGATCTTTTGCTAAACATGTTATAACCATTCTCAGATACATTCTTTGATTCTACCCTAATATCGTCATTTGCAGTTTCGTCATCATTAACCTCCCGTCTTTTACCAAAATGCATTATTTGATGACTAGGTGTACTATCGTCATCGTTCTTTTTACCCAAGGACGTCATTTGTGAATCAGGCAGTTTTTCTTCATCAATAAAATACATTATTTGTCGAACAGGCTGCTTGTCACTTTTCATTCTTTTTTCAAAATAAGTCAAGTGATGGCCACTTTGCTGTTCTTTATCCATTCGTTTACCGAAATACATCATGTTATGGCCACTTTGCTGTTCTTTATCCATTCGTTTACCGAAATACATCATGTTATGGCCATTTGGCTGGTTATTCATTCGTTTACCAAAGTACATCATGTTATGGCCATTTTGCTGTTTATTGTCCAATGCTTTCCCAAGATATATCGTGTTATGGCCAGGTCGCTCATCGTTAATTCTTTTCCCAAAAAGCAGCATATGGTGATCGGGTCGATGATTGTTATAAATTTTTTTTCTAATGTGAATCAGGTGATGGTTAGGTTCGTTGTCGTAATTCACAAACTCGTTCATTTGATGGTTGGGCTGATTATTATTGTAGCTGCGTTTACTATACAGTCGTTTTCCAAAGGACATTATAGTATGTCCACTGCTTTGTTTTCTGCCTTTTACGTTTTTAGCTATTTTCTGCTTTTCATTTAGTTCTTTGAGGATATTTTCAAATGACTTTTTAGTAAAATACACCATAGAACGTGACTTATCTTCAGGATTACTTTTGAAACGATTTCCAAAGTGTATTTTGCTATGATCTTCATGTGAATTTTTACCATTTTGTTGATTCAAATACTCTAATAAATTATTTGCTGCATATTCTATGTAATAAGGGAAAACATCGGGTTCAGGTCTTTGAAGTTTCTGATCTAAGTTTTCATAGATTTTTCCTGTTTTCTTTTCGAGATCGACATTTCGTTTTCCGAAATGAATGAGAGTATGTCCTCGTTTTCTTTCGTCATCCTCTTCGTTTTGCAGACTTTGTTCATAGTCTTTAGCTCGTTTCTCTTCCTCAAAATGGCGAAGTAGATTAATGAGGTTGAGTTCAGAAAATTTATTTGGGAACTTTGTTTTCCATTTTGCATTCAAAACTCCGATGGGAAACTCTTTTTTTTGCAGTCTTTCAGGAAGTTGCCAATTTTTGTAAACGACATCTAGAAGACGGAAAAAAAAAACATTATAAGTTGATAAGAGTATTCAAAATACAGAATATGTACATTGCTCACATTCTTAAAGCGCTGTATTTAACATAGCTTTAATTGTTGTTTAATATTTTATGTTCTATATGTTGCAATGAGATAACAGATGAGTTGTAACTTTTTCTTTCACTGTATTTTATACATGACAGAAGTGCAGTGGCATGTAAGAAGATGTGTTGCAACCTCTTGTTTCACTGTATGTATACATGAAAGAAGTACTGTGGGATATCATAAAATATGTTGTAACTTTTTTTTTTACTATATGTATACGTGACAGAAGTGCAGTGGCATGTAAGAAGATGTGTTGCAACCTCTTGTTTCACTGTATGTATACATGAAAGAAGTACTGTGGGATGTCATAAAATATGTTGTAACTTCTTTTTTTACTATATGTACACCTGACAGAAGTGCAGTGGCATGTAAGAAGATGTGTTGCAACCTCTTGTTTC